TTTTTTTTTTTTTAAGGGGGACAAGCTCCAATCTATTCGTGGGGAGCAACACGTGCTGGGAACCGGGCCCAGCGTCCCATATAGAAATGTACATACAATTTTGAAAATTGAGATGCCGGGGCCATTAGCCCCAAGATTCACATAACAGGGCCCTCCAATCCCAGGGCCAAGGCTGCGTAGTGCCTAGCTGTCCCCAGATTCTATCCCACCATCTCCATAGCCGCCCAGCCCCTGGGCATTGGAGAAATATGTGCTCAATGGTTTTCGGGATGTTACGTGACGGAAAGGCTGTGGCACAGAACTTGCACCAAGGGGTAGCCAAACCTTTTTGCTCGAGGTCGGTTCTGTCGATAATCCAGTCGTTGGTTGGCAGACACCGGTGATCAATCTGCCATTGAAGAGAAGCTATTTTAGCTGGTTTAGTTTTGATCGTTTTGAACCATCTAACTATCCGTAGACTTTCCTTACCTACATTTAGTGGCCTCATCCCGCCGGCCGCCACTCACTCCATCATGTAGATGCACTTGGGGTCTCAACATACGATATGTAGATTTGGCCGACACCGTGTGGAGGGATCTGAGACATTTCCTTCCCGGTCCAAAATTAACCGTCCACTTACAGTTAAATTGCTTGCCAGTCCCTTTGATTCACTTGGGGTTCTGAAAGTTCTCCCTATCTTCATTACTTTCCTTCCTTCCCCTTGGAATGGACCACACTCTGTTCTCCAACCAAATGAAAGGGTCCCTTTGTGGAGGAAGCTGAGGTGCAAGTCTTGCAAAGTTTGCCCCAGGCTGTCTACCTCTTACCCGTATGGGCGATATATCCACGACACTTCAGGCCTGGGCCGGTAGCGAACACGGAAAGCCACTCAGGGAAAAGAAACAGTCTCATGAGCCTTGGAAGGTAGCGTCCGCGCGGATTTGGTGCCAGGGGACAGAAATTGAGTGCACCAACTTCACGATTTCTTGCACTCATAAACTGTTCATAAAAAACTTCTGGAAAAAATCAAATAGCTGCATTTGGTGCTGATCTTTTCAGGAAAAATACTCGAAAAACCAAAAAAACTGTTCTAAGACGGCAAAGGAAAATTCTGGCAGCAAAAGATTGATTTTTTTTGCTCTCCACTACTACTACGGCTAGGCTCAAACCTTTTCACCTCCTGGGGCCTCGTCCCACTTGCAGCGTGTAGTGTAGTTCTCGTGTAGTCGTCGAGAACTACACAAAGTAAAAAAAAAAAAAAAAAAAAAAAAAAAAAAAATGGGACAAAAAAAAAAAAAAAAAAAAAAAAAGAAGAATAAAAAAAAAAAAAAAAAAAAAAAAAAAAAAAAAAAAAAAAAGTAAATA